TAATTTGCATTAAATGACTTAAAATAATATAATATTTCCATTCCTTTTTCCGACACCAATACAAGGAAACCCTTACGATATTGTAGATTAACTATAATTGTAATTTCATCATTTAACAATATGCTCTACCAGCAGAACTGTGGTGTAAATTCTAAGTTTATAGGTCACAGGTGCACTGCGCACATGATGGATAAACTATGGAAAAATATAGAGGTACAAGCTGCATATTGCGTAAATATGATGTTGTTGCGAAGAATCAGAGATTTCGAATATGCCTATACCCAACAAGTTCATTATCAACTGTCCGTTGACATTAATCCTACCTATGTATATGTGACGTTAACATCAAGCTATTTCATCGTGTTCCAATAAATTTCTGTTTTATCATTTTTGTGAGACATGATCCTGGAATTAAAAGGCAGCATAAGAAAACAACAAGCATTGATAGGATTTGTAGTGGAAACAAACAAAACAAACTAACAAAAGAGAGAGGGCTGAAAAAAGCGATTGTGGCAAAAAGCTAAAATCAAAGGGCGCCTGTTGCCAACTCCTGGATAAAGTATTAAAGAGATATATACTTGTAAAGTTGCCATCAGTAAACTAAGGCGTTAAAAAAAAGATAGAAAGTAGAACCATTGCAAGTACAGAAATTATAGTATTTGATTAGTATTTTTTTTTTGATTGACTCACAAACTCTTCCTGATCCTCGCTGCTCCTCGTTACGTTTAGCGCATGGACAATTCGAAGATCCTTCAAATTTAGTCTTTAGGTTGATCATTGCACTAATCTGAAACATTAGAAGTCCATTTCAATTTAGTAAATATCGAAACAGCCGCGTGAAGACAATAAACATCGCGACGATCGATGCAATCACAAAGGCGCCAGGACTTCGGACTACTTCGGAAGAACAGATCTCTAGTTCGTGGCCGACTAATTAAGACTAATTACGAAAGTCCACGCCAATTTGAATATCCCAAAGTGCCCACAACAACTCGTTCCTACGCTGTCGCGTATCCAGGAGTTAAAAAGGAGAACAAAAGAAACAAGACCACTAACAAATTTCCCGCGCTTGAATTTCAATATTAGTTGAGAACGCTTACGCGGGGAAATTGCTTGGCCATTGAGCTGCGCATTACTTACCTAAAATCACCAACAAATTATTACTTTACAACGGACAAGAGTAGCACTGTTCACTGCTTGGATGAACCCTTGAAGAGTGGAGAGGTAAAGGTCTGTTAACTTGAACTTATGTAGTTATCATTTAAGATCAGCCATTTTATTTCATCGTTGACTCATTCCATCGTCTTCTGATGCAATCCAATCTTTGGTCAAAAGCTGAACATGACAACAAGTCATATATACTTACCTTATATAAAAAAAATAAAAAAAAATCATAGTAGTTCAGCTAACGAGCTCCTCGCCAGGATTTATGCCTCGACTAGCGACTGTGACTGCTTTCTCGGTACGACGCTGCGAAAATTATTCGACAAATGAATTCTTCGCGCGCTTTTCCAAACGACTCTAATAGGAGTTACACCACAGTTAGTGCTTATACCTTCATGTGACTGTATTCAAGTCCAAAAGTCGGTGTTCAGTAGTCGGTCAGCTAATGATTGTGAGTACTGATTCGGCCTGGCCACCACATCCCTAACTCTCTTCAACTGAGCCATCGACGGACTAGGCTACAACTAGAAATAATCTTAAAATGTTCGCAACTTGGGCGGGCATAAGCTAAAAATAAAAAGTAATTCATATTTTGTTTCGGATAGCGCGAAGGGTCACAAATGTTCTGGGAAAAATAATAAAAAAAAAGATTTAGTGCCCCATCTCTTGAAAGAAACTCATTAATGCGATAGAAAATTTGAGTATGAATAATAATAAAAATACAAAATAATAGTTTGTTGTAATCAAGCATCGATGCTCACACATGATTGAAGAACAATTTACAAGTTAAAACTAACTTTAAGTTATAGACTGACCTGAACATCAATTCTGTGAGGAACATACTGATATGAAATGGAGCTTGTGGAAGGTAGGGAACAAAAAGGAGATGAGATCTTGTTAAGAGCTACTATCAAAACTTATGTCTTGACTGGTCGTAACGTCGGAAACTACCTACCATAGGAAAGCCACAGATTCTTAAATATGCCACAATCCTACCAACGTCTAGCCCCATAAGTCAGCGATTGTGGCCAGGTTAAAATGTCGAAATTCAGCATTCCTGTTCATGCAAAATGAACGAGTAAATGATTGCGGCCATCGCAGTAAAGGAATTTTTCGTACGATTGACTAACAGATTTTGGAATGAAAAATACCCCTGATGATCAACATTTTCGTGCCTGTGTTTGTTAATTTTTGACGTTTAAATTCTGGCGATAATCTACGAAATCAATATGCCAATAACACGGTTTACCAATGGAGATACCCTCGACGTCGTTGGATTATAAATCTCTTTACCTTTTCAACTCCGTAGTAGGCATTTCATGCTAGGATGACCACTGTAGAGGCGTGTCTTACTCAACAGTTCTCGATGAAAACAAGAAGACATTGATACTGAATAAAGCTAAACAATGTTGGTAACCTCAGCTTTCTGTTTTTAAACTTCACGTTCGATCTCGAGGCTGAAGTAGACAACACCAGGTTGTAGTCTCTCTCGATCTAGAAATGATCAATCAATTAAAGCTCCTAATTTTTTTTCTCACTAGTATTCAAAAAACGCAATATATTCCTTTCAGTAGCCGTGAAAATGTAGCCAGTCGAAGGGCACGGTCAGGTTATTTAAACGGCAGCTAACGCTATCCAACGGATTATCGCCATCCTTCGAAAACTGTCAACAAAATGTACTGCGCTATCCACAGGATAGAGATTTAGGTAGTACATAGTGTTATCACCCCTCGAACAAATGGGGGCCAGAAGAACATAGCTGGTCTTACTGTCAGTCCAACAAACGTAACTGACTGCTTGTTTCCCGCGTGCTATCTCACGTGACTTCGTAGCAACTTCAGCCAACTACGAACTACTTAACATCTGAACGAAATTAACATCTTTTCTTTTTGTCTCTTATCAGTTGGGCTTTATCTGCATAAAATTTAGACGAGTTATCATGGACAGGAGCCCATTACTTAGGCTCCTGCATTGGATAGACAATAAAGAGAGCGGAGGGGAGGGAAGGCATAGTGATGCTGTGGCACCACATGGACAGGTTAAAGCCTGAAGCGGACAACCTGATACATATATATGTCAGAGAATGCTGCAAACTGAGGGTGATCAGTGAAGTTATAGGCAAACTATTGTCAGGAGCGTAGTATTTTTAAATTTTTGCCGGTAGGAGACTGATCTGAAACCTAAAATAATAGCAATAGTTACTTGTCCTTCATACATTCACCTCAAATGTGTACGCTCGATGCAATGCTCGCCCTGACTCGTCCACTTCATTGCACGCTACGTTCTTCATCCGCCTGTGAACGACAAGGCCAAGTCTTCAACCCAATGCGAGCAACTCCATTTGTATGCTTGCTTGACTTTATATGCTTGTCGATTGAGCTTTTCTTTAATGAAAGGGTCTTACTACAAGCATTACAACGCAGATTTCCACTCACCACTACGAAATGTTGTTTTGGATAGTCTTTCATGCGATCCCAGGCGCATGTTGTGTTTCCTTTCCCTGAGGACGAGGTCGAGCTACCGCTTCCTCGTTGTTTGTATTTGCCTTCGTTGACGTGAATTTTACGTTTTCTAGAAATTGAAGCTCTTGCAGGACTACTAAGAGTTGCCCCAGTGGCTATGGTAACCTCAATAGGGTCAATATCTGTATTATTTTAATTTTCCTCGTCAGACATTTCAGCCTCTAATTGTGATGCCTCGCAAATACCAAGATGGCGGGGGGGAAGCTCTATTGTTGGAGCGAATAACCGCTGGATGTAAGCGCCCGTGATATAGATAGCTGCTGGCTAGTTCGTGGGCGCACGTGTTATTTTATAAATTATTTGGACGAACGTACGACATCCTTAGTTTTGACCACTTTTAATAAAAAACCTTTTAGTAAAGACCTTTTTGATGGTTTGGTCAGTTTTTAGCTATTTGTTGAATCAAAAGTTGCCAAGGAAGGTAAAAGTTGTTCTAAGTTGCTCATAGTACAAAAAGTTGCTCAAAAGTTGCCGAGCACAATCTATTTATGCCTAACGGAAAGGGATGCCGCTGTAGTCAAAAATAGTAACCTCGACAAAAATCCTGTCGAATTTCTTACCCCAATCCGAGACGCATTGTCTGACGGGATGTAAGGTGTTCCACGTTCTTTCGCGCGTAGGATCCATCAGTCATTTCCCAACCCCCTTTGGAAAAATTTTTTAGTGAATCTATCAAACGTTTACTGTGGGCAAAGATGGTCTCATGGCAGTATTCGGTTTAAAAATTATCTCCAAGTTTCTCCGAAAACCGTTTCAAAAGTTACAACGTAGTATTTTTTGGGTAGACTCGAACTACGTCGACTGACGACATAAAATTATCTAGTCTGTTCGAATTACATGGTGCTGGAACACGCACCCAATATTTCCCCTTATTGACAGACTTTCTCGTCTGAGAAAACCTAAGGAAAATAAAACAATCTCATGTTAGAAATATTCAACTATACTTAAATAATTTCTCTCGGTGTAATATTTCTTTTCCTTTTTTGATGAGAGTAAAACTCCTTTTGGGCGCTTGAACGAAAAATTTCATTTGTATTTGAAGTAGACTGCACTGAGGTCTCCTCAGGTTTCGATCCCAATAGTTGGCCTGTGCCTATTGAAAGGATCTTAGTCCTGATGCAGGATCCCAAGGAGAAAATATTCTCCCCAAGCATCGAGTATTTTTCATACTACTTGCATCACAGCTTAGTTGGCGGGAAAAAGTCGTTGGCGCATTATAGAAAGCGGTGTGCGGGGGGGAGAGCGTTGCGTGACATACTAAAGACCGCCCAGAAAGGCCGAGAGGAGATTAAATAACATTGAGGGTCACGCAGCGACGATTTCTCATAAATATTTTTCCACTGGCTACCTCTACCTCGTGTTGCTGACCTGTAAAAGAGGGAATCCTTGCAATTAAGGTAAAAATCTCTTCTAAAGACCGTTCTGATAAAATAAATCCGCTGGAACATGATACCTTGTGAAGTCTTGTGACAATAACGTGGGTGAAGCAACGAATCTACGCGCAAGGAAAGAGTCAACTTGACGATGGCAAATTCATCATCAGATGCCGAGTAAGTAGTGATTCGTTTTTAATTTTGATATACAGTACTTGGTGAGGGTAGGATACCTTTGCATTATGGTGCAATTATCCGACAAAGTCCGGGGAGTTTATCCGAGAATGGAAACCCCGCTCATTAAGCTGAAATCGATTGTATAGACACGCCACACAGTGACCCTCCCGTCGCTAAACGTTAAGAACTGCCATCATTTTATCACAGATTGCAAGAACACTTTGAATACAAGAATTGTTTTTATGATGACAAGAGCTTTGAGTGATTAAGAAACTGCCAACCAAATAATTAATTGATACTCTAAATTCAAGAGTTGAAACTACTTAGTACATAGTTTTTAAATTCGCAGTTGGAGTTGGTCGTATTGGCGATTGATGAATAATCTTCTCCGATAATCAACATAAATGTAAAAACAAAACATAGAAGTCTTCGAATCCTCGGTGTGAATATCTCACCGATATTATCGAAGATTTCGTGACGTGACTCGGTGTGTCAACGACATTTTTGACGTCCTTCATAAGTTTACACCCCTGAGAATAAATATAGATATATATACCCGTAGGGTTTTTTTTTGATGAGAAAAGAAAAGGTATATATATTTGTTGTAAATTTTCAAATCGCAACGTTTTTGAAAACGGGTGTATATATATTCGGTTACGACAAAACCGCTAAGAAATATTGGTTCCTTTTTTCTTTACGAAAGCTAACACCGGTTATAAGCATGTCACGCTTCGATAGCTGCATACTTCATACTTAGTGTTTAATCCCGTCACGCAAGTCGACCAGTGGCTGTATGTGTTCAAATGACATTTCGATCGATATGCCCACAATTCTCGTCAAAACCTTTGGGACACATACGACAAAACGGTGGAAAACATTTGAGCCAAAGGTTGCCCTTCCCCCCTACTAGTTTGCCAGTTAGTAAAGTTGTTTTTAACATTTTTCTTGGGAGATGAAGCAATTATCTTCACAAAAGAGATGCAATAAAGGAAATGCAGAAAAAAAGCCTGAAAAAAAAATTCAGAATCCGACCGTATTCGAGCCCATTCCAGACAGGTACCAGCTGAGCTACAAAGCCACATGTTGAGAGTGAGGAAAATTTTAAAAAAATTTCTCGTCCTCATACAGTTGATTGGTCACAATTAAATGACCTACGTAATAATAGTTGACCCGAGTATGAAATACAAAGTAAAGAAAATATCCTCCCAGTTGAGTTACAGTATAATGAAAGAAATTTCAAAGAAAAAAAAATTAAAAATAAAATGAGATTCAAACCCGTGCCTCCGAGACTGCGCTGGTTGGACGCTACTTCCAACTAATCTACGAAGCACAAATGGAACTTTCACTAAAGTAATGACTTATTTGATATGATTAGGATGGGCGTCTCTGAATCGGACTTCAAGCGGAAAAGACGTTGGGCAATTGGTTTAGTAATCATCTATGTCACGGTTGCGGTGGGAACGGGAATCTTCCTTGCTTACTGGTTTACAAGACATCGATCATGGGAAGACAACTACTCACCCGGATATCCCGACACCCTTGGCGGACCGTACAAGCAAGCAAGCGTGGCATCAGACGCCGGCCCGTGCTCACACATCGGGAAGAACATTCTTCAGCAAAACGGTTCGGCCGTGGACTCCGCAATCGCCACGATGCTATGTGTCGGAGTAATCAATTTACATTCGACAGGGATCGGAGGTGGTGGATTTATGCTCGTATACAATCGGAGTGGTCAAGTCGCTGAGGTGTTTGACTTCAGAGAAACTGCTCCAGCCGCTGCGACAAAGGACATGTTCAAGAATGCAAGTTACAAAGAATTGAACAGTGAGTAAATATCGCGACTTGACGCAAGCGACGTCACTATGGATTGACTTAATAAAATAGCTGTTCGAGGAAGTTCTTCCTCTCCATCGGAAAGGAAGGGCGGTCAATCTTCTCGCGACTCTGCCCCAGATCTAGGAGGCCAAATAAATTGCGTTTGTCAGAAGTGAACTCCTTACACTGCCATGAATTTTGAAATTTAGTCATTAATTCTTTGTCAACAACATGTAAAGGTTCTCCTACATGGCTCTTGCGTTTAGAGCCCCTCTAAACAAGATTATAGCTCAGTTAAAAAGATAAATATTGGCTTCTTTTGATTTGAAGTAATTCAAATCAGATTCAAGTCTCGGGCTGATCAAATTTCAGTCTACAGAAGAAGTATAAGCTTAGCTGAGACAAAAAAGGTGCAGTTTTTTCAAGAATTGACGTTCAATTTTATCACAGCTGGTCTCCAAGATCTCGGCGCAGGTACCGAAACAGCTAGGTTAACACGCTCTCTTACAAACACTCTCCCTTAATTGCGTTCCCTTCAATTTGTAGAATCCTCTTCTGAGCGCCTCACCAAAATAAAAGTTATAAAAAAAAACCGCGACCTACGAATGTTTATCTTCACTTTATCTATTCTATGCATTTGTTTTTCAAGGTACGCTAGCCACAGGTGTCCCAGGTGAAGTGCGCGGTTATCACGCAGCCTGGAGAGCGTATGGACGGTTGCCATGGAAACAGCTGGTGCAGCCAGCAATCGACCAAGCAAAGTATGGCTTCCTTATATATCCTTCGCTTTACTTGACGATTTTGAAAAAAGAACATGACATCAGGAAAGATCCCGGGCTGAGGTAAATAACCTTTACTATCGCCTTTCAGTAAATACTCGTGGGCTACTCAGTGGCCTACTGCTTGGTGTGTTAGGGACGGATCGAAAGATCAAAATTTGAGGCCTAACTGGCTCGTAGCATTAAGTTCTTGAGCAAGATATTTCACTCTTACAGTGCCTCTCTGCAGTCAGGAGTATGGATTGATAATGACAAAATATCTGGAAAACCTGACGAAATACTAAGAGGTAACCTGCGTTAGCACACCATCAAGGAAAACTTAGTTGAAACTTTTGGTCGTGAGCACCTTTTTCCTTTTTACTTTAAAGGTACGCTTAATAATTTTATAACACTTTTTTTTTCAGAGAACTATTCGTTGATAAGAAAGGAAACCTGAGACAATTAGGCGACAATGTCACCAACCTACAATACGCGAGATCCCTCGAAGCGATACGAGACAATCCCGATAGCTTTTACAACGGATCTTTGGCTAACAAAATCGTCCGAGACATTAGAAAGCGAGGCGGGATCATCACTTTGCAAGACCTGAGAGAGTACAAAGTTATCAGAAGAAAGGCAATTATTAACCAGTTGAATGACATGACTTGGTATACAGCCCCCCCGCCCACCAGCGGTCCTGTCATAACTCTCATATTGAACATTCTGAAAGGTAAGGGTTAACAGAGTCTAAATGAGGGACCATCAAAGGAGATCAGCCTTATGGGGGATCAGGTAAATTTTGTCGTCACACAACCAAAATTCTCATTACGACATTACATCTCCGTTGCTGATAACGATGCAGATTCATCAAAAAAATTATCTTTCGAAGTTCCTTTCGTACATTTCTATGCGTCCGATTGGTTACCCAATATTAAATTGGTTTTTAGACCGCTTCTTGGAGTTGAAAAACAGGGCGGCACTGAACAAAAAAAAATTGCAGAAAAAAATATCAGTGACTGTCTATTGATCTTTTTTAAAGAGGGATTGAAAAGAGTACTAGAAGTGTTTGTGACATGACACTATGTGTAAGAAGTAACATTTGAGAATGACGCTTTTTTTTCAGGTTATAACATGACTTCACAATCGCGTAATTCTTTGACGTTTCATCGTATTATTGAGGCTTTCAAATTTGGTTTTGCTTGGAGATCACGCCTTGGGGACCCGGCCTTTAACGTCGGTATGAATGAGGTAAGAAATATGTTAATAACTAACCTGGTAGTTATCTGTAATGAGGCAAATATGCGAAAGTTTGCGATTATGCGCTCGAATTGTAGGTTAGAACTGGCTAAAATACACAAATGAATTTATGGGGGCTTTCCAAAAAGACAATGACTTGCTGTTTCATGCTATAAGCAAGAAGAAGACCTCAAACTTGCCCGCAAGTTTTTGTGGTACATTCGAAGTGGGGAGGGGGGAGGGTGTCATTGTGATATTCTCGGATGCTTTAATAGTGAGACAACTTTTTTTATACGAGAGAAGAGATAAGAAATCGTAACGATGGGAATTAAATGTAGCAAGCAAAGGTAGTTAGTTCAGCCGCTTGTGGAATTTTGGTGGCGTCTATGCGCATTACGAATAATTTACTCTTCCCCCCCCCTTTCCTCTCCCACTACTTCGAAACCTCAACGGAGGGCATGACTTTGAAATTGCCCCATTAAATGGCAAGTCTTTCAGTTCGACAAGAATGATCTCATAAACAGCTGGTTGTGAGTCTCGACAACGTCATGTATAATAATCAAACTTCAATTTCTGTGTTCACGTTTTACAGACAGTCTCCAAGATGACAAATCAGACGTTTGCCGAGTTATTGCGTCAAAAGATTTGGGACAACCAAACACACAGCAACGCTTCTTATTACGGAAAATTCCAGTTTGAAAGAGACCACGGTACTTCTCATCTTTCTGTTTTGTCTCCGAACGGTGATGCTGTGGCTCTTACTTCGACCATAAACTACTAGTGAGTTAACCCTTTACACCCTAACATCAGTATGTATATTCTCCATACAGTTCTCTATATAGTTCCAAAGGTGCTGACAAGGAGTATTTTTTAACAGTCAAGAGTTGCTTCAGTGGGTAAACATTTCCCATATTCTTTTGACCTTCACACTTTATTCAGTTGTATATTGTTGGGGGAAATAAGGTGCTAGTCGCTCTGAGGGGTCAAGGGTTAAATGGTACGAGGAATGATGGTCGACCAAACAATTTAAGTCTCACTAGCCCAAAGCTTTTTTGCAGGCAGATATTATTTACATGGTACAAAGTGGCTAAGAATATGGAATGATCTAGGGGAACTAAATACGAGTAGAAATGACGTATACAGAGTACAATTCTCACCAGCTTAATGGTTCATTGCTCACAGAGCTTATCCTAGTTTAAACAGCATGAATTGACCAAGAGTATGAAATGATTTAGAAAGTCCATATTTGATATCAATCTTCCCTCTCCCCCCCTCTTTTCAATTCGTGAGGTTTTCTTGATAGTTCCATTATTGTGAAAGTATGATCAAGGAATAGTGGCCAAGTTTTCAACCAGAGAGAGCAAAGGTATATTACTATCATTCTAGTTCCTAATCTGTTTTGATGGATTCATCCCAAATACATCGCATGCACAACCTATGCTGCCACGTTCCTCAAGGTTTCACGTTCGTATGTTGTATAACTACGTCTTCTTTTTCTTCATTCGATAGTTTTGGGTGCAAATTTCGTTCCACAGTAACTGGGATAGTCTACAACAACGAGATGGGTGATTTTTCTACACCAGGCCAGTTAAACCCAGATGAGATCAAACCGTCCAAGAGCAACTATATCAAGCCTAGAAAAAGACCTCAGTCCTCCATTAGCCCTGTTATTTTCACTGACGGAAGTGGCAGAGTAAAACTGGTGGCTGGCGCGTCTGGAGGACCGCACATTACAACAGCGGTTTCTCTCGTAAGTTAAAATTAAGACATTCCAAAAAAAGCCATATAAATCTTATCTCTTAAAATGCAAAATAATACATCGTTATTTGATCTGCTGAGAATTATTATTTTCTACATACTTTTGCAGACGGTTGTGAACCAGCTGTGGTTGTCACGTGGCATTTCTAACGCTGTCAACGATCCACGAGTCCATCATCAACTCTTTCCAAATACGGTCATTATAGAGGAGCCCCCCTACACCATTCCCATACGGATTCAAGATGGTTTAAGAGCCCGCAAACATAATATCACAATAGAGAGTTACTTTGCATCTGTGCAGGCGGTTGTTCGAGAAAAAGATGAAGAAATATTTGGGAAAAGTGATCCGAGAAAGTATGGATGGCCAGACGGCTTCTAAACTGATAACAAACTCTGATCTCTTCTCAGACAGTACACCAGTTTTACCAAAGATTAATTTTTGGCCGTTGGGGACATTTCACGCTCTATCAGACACTTACTCACAGATGGAAGTTTTAAGATCTACGATAATAAAACTAATTTCTTGTAACTCAGAGGGAACCTTGCTCTTTCGTCTTTCAATCTTTATACCGCTTTTCTGGAAGGCACAACAGAGCTGATTCTCAAAATAACTACTCCCTATTCTCAGGTCAACTGTCAATGTTAATGTCGCTTGCTATTCCTTTGACGGGATGCATCCAACACACGCTTCTCGAAATTCACTTCACTAGAAGTATACATCTATCCATAGGGATTCGCGTAACGCTATCGCCTTTCTGTTTACTGCAATTTATGGTAAAGATGTCACATAACAAAGTGTCACGGAAACCTTTGTCCTGGAGAAAAGGGAAGAGATGAAATTCAGGTTTCCGCCAAAGATAGTGATGTAATGCGAACATTTTCCATACTTATTCCTATTGCTTTTTTGTCATTAAAATCATAAAATAAAATTTGTAAAACTTGAAAGGAAGACTCGGAGGGCGTCTTAAAAAACTCATTAATCTGCTAGAGATCTACTATAATCCTTTGCTTTATCAGTTGAGGCAGGGCAAGAACAAGAAGTCATGTTAATAACGTTAACTGCTGACAACTCTTCACTACTGCCCTCTGCATAAGATAAAGTATCTACAAACCTAGAATGTAATGCTGTCACAGAACACAATTTTCTCACTCAAAAATTGTAAGTCATAAACAGTTTCGATCCTCCTTTTCCTTTATCGAATGTTATTGCTTTTGCTATAAAATTTGTTTGTGAGGAAAAAAATCTCAGACACCACTCAGTAAGTGGGGGGAAGAGGGAGATTAGTGGGGGAAGTGAGGGAAGAGGAGACCCATTGTTAAATTAAAACAAGTACTGGAACAATTTAAGCCGAGACTGTGCATTACGAGTAAACTTAAGTAAATGATTTAGATCGATTTTCAGAATAAAATTCTATGACTGAAATAAAACTGCTAGGGATAAATTCTAAAGATTTTTGTATATTCACAACAATTCCATACAAACAAACAAACCAACAAACGTTTCTAGATTTTCAGAGTTCATTCTAAAATAAAAAAATGTATATCATTAGTGAAACAAAATGGTTAAAATATTTCCATGCATCTCTATCTAAAATGCAAATGAAAATACCATTCGCTGTCCACGAAATTTTCACTATCCAAATAACCCATTTTGTCTTTACTCTTAAATTTATAGGAGTCAAGATATGATTCTTAAATCTTGAAAAAATCATCTTAAGGTTTTTTCAAGAGTGGCATTTGTAAACTGTGTGACTTGTTCCATTTCTATTTCCTTTTGCCTCACTGGCTTTTGCCTTCCTTGACAAATTAGTCTCCTTAACACCGCAATACGAGCCTCCCCACCCACCCCCTACTGCTCCTATAACGTTACAGTTTGACCAATATTTGGGAATAAAATATTTAAGTCACACATTATTTTCAAATGCACTTTTAAATGCAATTACAATGCAACAACATACAATCTGAATGACGGACGATTAGAAAAAAACCATGGCAAAAACCAAGGAAAATTGCAATTCTTGTCTACCTGAGCTTACCAAAACCACAAAAACAACTCTTCTGCATTCAGGACAGAGTAGAACATTCGTTCGTAAGATCTCGTTCAAGCAGTGAAGACAGAAACTGTAGCTGTAACTGTTTTGGTTCAGCAAATATGGTCATACACATGGAACACGAGATTTCTTCGTGAAGATTGTCAAGCAAGGTTTTAATAACTATGTCTGAATACAAAAATAGGTCCGCAATGCGTACATGTGTGGCTTACGAAATTCAGCTGCTTTTTAGTGCCTGGTGTCTCATTGGGTTTCTATTAGAAGAGCTAATATCTGATTACCATTCGATAGTTTTCAATATTGATCCTGTTCATCAATAACACAAGATAACTAGCATACAAAAGTCCTGAAATGTTCATTCTGAAGATGAGTTATTGGCCAAACTTTGTTATGGAGGTCTCATTTTGACTACAAAGGTTGCACATGTAACCCGAGGATTTAAGGAACTGAAAAAACATCAGCATAACCTCCCATAGTGGTCTGATAGATTCAGTCATGAATATGTTTTCGTAACGAAGTGGAATTGACTTCTGAAGTTTGTAGGTTGATTTTCTTTTCCAAGGCAAGTGATGTGAAATGAACTCTACGGAAGAATTTCATATGAATATTTTGACATTTTGTGTACCGGTACACAAGGACAAAACTTTGGAGAAGGGCTGGGACATTCGGGAAATGATGTAATCTACACCAGAAGCCATTGGGAGCTTGATTTGGTTGGAATGTATGACTAATTTTGGACAATACATACATGTAAAGTAACACAATGCTGAGTGTAGGTTTCTTTTGTCCATTAGGGCATAAAGGTCAACTTTCAGTTGGTTGAGAGCAAAACGTTAACTATGATTATTGTATTTGTGGTTTTTTGGGACTGTATTTTCAATAAAGAACACAGAAAATTTAGTTCAGGTAGGTAGATTATGAGGTTGCAAATGAAAGAGTCTAGGGAAAAAAGATAGGTGCATTATAAGATAAGAACACAAGCAATATTTTAATGATTCATATGTTGAGTTAAGTACTCTGAAGTAACATTACATTAACATTGCTAATAATTTTTAACCCAATAAGATTTACAATTTGACCTGGAGGTTTCATTTAACAGAAAGTTCAACAGAGATAGAGTGTCACCATAATATATTTCAGGAACAGTAATCAGAGACATAACTTAAACACAGCAGAGTTCAATGTACAGGAAAATGCATAATGGTATAATATGATTTAAACTACCAGAAGCTTTCAGGTTTTCTTATTATTGAAATTGTAATTTCATGCCAGTGAGCCTACCAAATTTAAGCTATGTGGAGAAATGAATGGGTGAACTTGACATCATCATGCAAAGTGCTAATCTACTGTACAAAAAGGTCCAAAACAAACATGGTAAGCAACTGAACTTCATATATCATTTTGTGTTAGAGCACACAAGAGGACTTGTGAGACCTGCTTCACTCTCATTTGCCAGAACAAGATTGAACTTCTGGTACCAATCAAAATGCAGAATGACTGTGACAGTTTGGAACTGATCTGTTAAGACTGTGCTTTTAAGGGGTCTACAAATGTGATTAGAACCCTGGGTCTCCAAGGATACCCGATGATTATCTAATCCACATCAAGTAGCTCTAACTTTTAACTTTAAAAGTAACAAATGTCAGTTCCATTGAACTGTCTTCATAAAAACTCAACAAAGTCTAATCTAAGTAAATTAAAGTGTACTTTTGTATTCTAAATAAGCAGAAGTAAATTTTTCATAAACAATAAATGTTGAGCTCATGGCGTGTGTGCAGTTTAAAGTATTTGAAAATTTACAGGTGCTTATCATATGAGAAATCATGTTATTAATTATTCATAACATATACATGAAAGATACACATTCACAGGAAATCAACAAACTAATGGCAGATAAATTTGACAGTATTGACTAAATGAAGTGTGTGCCATAAAAATTTGTCCTTCCAACGAAGTGTAAACCACACAAAAACAGTTACAGGATAAACCAATAATTGCATAAAAACTTAGGCAAATGCAAGCACAAAAAACAAAGTTTATTTCCAACAGAAAGCCTGGGTGAACACAATTATGCGTCTAGTTTCATTCTGATATTGGCGTTGGTTTAACAGTCTCTTCTCTCTACATTCTGCAATTTTTTGTCTTT